AGTCAGAGCGACTCGAACAATGTGAAGGTCAGCGCTACGGCTGACAGCAGCAAGTCAGCTCACAGTGACAACAGCAATTCAGCTCACAGTAGCAAAGCTGACCATAAACAACATCGACGGTATGACTCGGCGGGCAACATCAACACTACTCATAAAAATCGTGATCCAAATAAAATATCCGCCTCTGCCGTGCAGCTAAGAAGTAGAGACGGAGTATCGCTGCACTCGTCTCGGTCCAGCCGACCTGCCAGCGATGGTCAACTCAAGTCCAGCCCTGCACCAAGAACGCTCTCCAACTTGAACCTGAACCTCGTTAGGGACAACACCAAGTCTCAACTCAGCCGCAGTCAAATCAACTTGAACTCACGTGATGACAACTCGCCATGCTCGCTACTTCCTCGTAGCGCTGATCCCGAGCAGTACAGGCACATTCGTTGGAACGAAATTCGCAACATCATCTACGAACACGACTACGACGAAGGCATCGACGACACGTCGCATTCCAGACACCACGTCAGTAGGAACAAGAGCTTCCACACCAGCCGCAATGTGGAGACCTCGCGTTGTCCCGGCAATGGAGGGGAATTTCCCGTAGTGTCTGACGCCACCAGGCTCAGGTGTCAGAGTGCTGACAATCTCAATTCAGTTAAGAATAACAATCTTTACATTAACCATATCCACAGAGAGGTCATTAATAATTTCATCAACAAGAACCACATTAGCCAAATAAATAGCAACCTATTCTATCCTGTCGATGACACACAAGATCCAAAGACGACCTCAAAGCACAGACGGAAACACAGGACAACCTCGCGAGGACCGAAGTATGCTGACGATGGCACGCACACACATCGTCGTCACCACAGCACCAGCGACTACGCGAGCCACAGCGACAGCAGCAGCTCCTCGTCCTCCTACTCCTTCTACTCGAGTGCGGAACATGGTGGGGTTGGTGGCGGGTCTCCTGCGTCTTCGAGTGCTTCCTCCCCTGCGTCGTCCGTTGGCACAGACTCCTTGCTACGCGGCAGCCTCCACTCCGCGTCGTGTCCGGCGTTTAGACCTGAGGTGCCGACGAGACGATCGTCCCGTGACGACTCGTCTCGGCTCCGCTCCGGCCCCAAACTCCTGCACGTCTCATCTGGAAAAGATCGCTGGGTCATTCGGCGCGCGGACGGCCTCGTCATAGAGATTGTACCTGAGGCGGTTTGGCTTAAGGAGCAAAGAAAGCGTACGTGGAAGCGAGCTCTTCTCGATCTCTTCAAGGAGAAGTACGTACATTCTAGTGAATTGCTCCTCAGCTTGCATTTTACAGCTATTTTATTTATGGTTCAACTAATGACGAGAAGTCCCGTCGCGAGTCCGCAATCTGACTTCTGCGAAATATTTTATTTTTGCATCAATCGGATAAGACGCTCTTGCATATTATTTAACTCGACTCTCTGAGGCTCACATTACTCCAACAGAGTTAAGTCTAATGTCTGATTTTTCAACGAGAATAAATTTTCACGATAGGGCATGCATCATTTGACACAACTTTTAAAAGGCGCTTCGTCGGGTGCTTCTATGCTGGTATCGTCTCAAGCGGCAACCTTCATGCGTGAATGCAATTAATCGCCCTCCCGGGATATGAACTTAAACTAATCGTTCGATCTACTGTAGAAACCTTGGGAAAATTTAGATTTGTGATACGAAATTCCATTTAACGAAAGAACTTTGTACTCTGGAATGTTCCCGTTATCGCGGATGTTTCTAACTCTCTCACATGGACTTGAAGGGCTTGGGGATCTATGAGTATTTATTTATTAGACAGATCCTTATCTATTCCAGGCGGCTCGTGCGATAGCTGGAGTTCTCTATGCGACATAGCAAGTCTCAAGCAAAGTAATTCTCATCACGGTGCGCAGCAAATGCTTTATTTTGCTTTGAACAATTTTTAATTCTATTAAGACCTACGTTCACTTCCTATAAGCGCCATGAAGATGAGTAAAATTTCACGGAGCGCAAGCGTTTCTCACACTAACGAATGTCTTGCAAGTAATCAATTATCAGTAGCCGAGTCCGACTTGTGTTTGCTGAATGACTGTACAATTTGAAACCCATAATTAATCTTTTGTAGATACACATATTTGCTAAAAAAATGGGACATTGGTATTTTAATTTTCATTTATCAACCCGGATCACGTTACGATTTAAATGACATCCACGGCAGCGTGGCAGGCAGCCCCAGTTTTCCTGCGTTGACCGCATGCAGATCAGACGAAGTTTGAAGTCAATTATGAGTTGCTAGTCTGATTAAATAGGGGTTTTAAAATAAAAATAAAAGAAAAGAGACGTTTCTTATCGTCTCATGTATCTTAAAAGTTGGAGTGACTCGGAGTGAATACTCCACCAATTTTACGATACGTTCAGGTTCAAGATACCGGTATCCATTACTTATCGTTTTGTCAGGTGGTTTTCCGAGTGGCATTTGATTTGGCACGTGAATAAGGTTCTCTTTTTGGACAGGTTCGGCAAAATATAGTACAGAGAGAGGGTGTAATGAAACACTGATACATTTCATATTAAATTGAGAAATTCAGGTTCACATCCTACATTAACAAAAAAATCTCTAGTACATGAAAAAGGCGAGCTGAACACAAAGTCCAAAATTTAGCAGTTAAATCATCATCATGTAAAATCATCTAATTTTACCGGGAAAAAAGCGTGTGATCCGTTGCAGTTCCGTTGAGCCATACGACTGTTGTAAACGACAGTAAACTTGCGCACATATTTACGGCTTTACGTTCCGCGACCGTACCGCGGCTGTCACCGCGCGTTGCAGCCGTATTTCAGGTGGCCGTACTGCAGCTGTATCGCGTATCTCTCTTCACAGTTGCTCTTTCTTCATAGCTGTCGTATCTCGTTGATATAGATGTCTCACGGTCAGTCTGGCCGTAGAGTTGATGATGACCGTACTTCAGAATAGTAGCGTAGTCTTCATTGTCGATGATGTTACTTCGGCTCAATGCGGTGCTTCGGCGGTTGAAAATGAATACAATATCGTACCGCTTCTTCTTGATGGAAATCGTGACCGTATCGTACAGATGATTCTTGGTGTAGAGCTCGAAACTTAGATCTTCTGATGAAAATAGTGACCGTATAATTTGTTGAAGTCGTAGCCGTCCATTGTATATGTTTTAAGCCCGGTCCACACGCTCAGTTTTCACAACGATTTGTCTGCGCAGTTTTAAGTCGGAATGAAATCGTTGCAATTTTTAGAGCGTCCACACGGTACCGACTTATCTGAGTAGTTTGCTCAGTTTTGCGCGATCTCACCATGGAGACGTCTTGGACAAATTTTACGGCCGGTCTCCCCAAATTCGGCGAGCATGGAATATCTCCCGAAGTAATGAACGTAGCTCGATAAAACTTGATACACTTATTCATTAGGACTTAACGGTGATGTTTAGCTCGTGAACATTTTTGAAATTTCACCTTCATTCCTGAGTTATATGACGATACGTGCTGAAATTTGCAGTGAGCATGACATTTCTTCTTAACTACTGTACAGATTTGAACGAAACGTTGAATATAGAAACCTAGCCTCCCAACGGCGATGTTTAGCTCGTGAAAATTTTTTAGATTAGATAAAGCCGTATAACTCGCAAACGAAGGCAAAATCGAAAAAAAATTGTCACATGCTAAACATCACCGTTAAGTCCTAATGAATACGTGTACCAAGTTTTATCGAGCTACGTTCATTACTTAGGGAGATATTCCATGCCCATCGAATTTGGGGAGACCGGCCGTAAATTTATCCGAAACGTGCCATGGAGAAGGCAGTATTTTCATAAATTTTGGCATTGTGCCTTGTCAAAAAAGAGATTGAATCATTTAGGGATTGCGAGGAATCAAAATACAGGAGAGATATGGCTTGTAGATGTCTTCTTTTCCAGGTCCAGATGGAATCGATTTTTTATTCATTCCCAATTATTTACGGTAAATGCTCAACTTATTTTACAGCTGTTTTTATGTTTGCGCTTTCATCGATTTCTTTGAATTTTTCTACTAAGCCCTCGTATGTCTCCACCTTTTTTGTCCCTGTTACTATAGTCCTTGAATTTTACTTGCCAAATGCAAGAAAAACTTTCGTATAGAAAAGCAATAAATTCCCGAGAACATTACCGAAGGTCCGCCATGGTCGCCAGAATCATTGAAACTGAGCACAAATCGAATCAGAAAACTGTGCTACCGTCCACACGTTCCGACTTGTCTGCGCAGTTCATCGAAATCTATGCTCGGTAGCTCAGATTTCGATGGAACTGCGCAGTTTTCCCGCCGGCTCCAAAACTGCGCAGTTTTCCCGTCCACACGCAACGTTTTGTCTGCAACGATTAGAACTGCGCAGACAAATCGTTGTGTAAAACTGAGCGTGTGGACCGGGCTTTACGCACTCACAGGAATCGTAACTGCCTCGGTGAGTCTAAGTTTCTCGCAAGTCGCGACCGTCAATGTTCGAAAACGGTAACACCGCGGCCTCACGGCCGCAGCAGACCGTACGTGCGTGACGGTCTCCGCCGTAGAACCAACAACAACCCTTGGCGCGAAATCTGAGGTCCTTATATACGCTAGAGTCGCGCACACTTAAGCCTAACCCTCGAACTGACGCACATTCCTTCGAATGGAATGTCCCTCGCGCTGAGCGCCAACGTTTCAATGTAAACAACCTTTCCCACGGTCTCGCAACAACGGCGCCGCATTCTTAGCATTCTTAACATCTATGCATAATACATGTTCAATATTACCTACTGTCAATATTACCTACTTTATTCATTCTTCCCTCTTCATTGAATCTCGTCAAGACCGCTTTATGGGTTATTTTTCGTGATGGCCACACGTTGATACCGCTGATCTTTCTCTCAAATAGCAACATTTGACGGCATCAACACGAGTTTGCCACACTTTCCAAACCGTGTTTTTAATGATCACTTCATCTAACCATTTCCCCTGCCTGTCCACAGACGGCTCAGTCTGCGCCCATCGGCTGAGGAGCTCGAGGAGAGGAACATCCTAAAAAGTGAGTCCCGCCTAAAAGTCGTCGGTCCCTGACCACGTAGTTCGGACTTAAGTCACTCCCATAAGGAGTGTCTCCCGAGCTCTTATAAATCGTCACAATATTCTGTTACTCGTTATTTAATCTATTACTACTCCATTGTAATGCCGAATAAATTAATCCCTGTTAAAAAAATGAACCCCTGTTTGACGATCACTATTTATAAGGATAACTTACTTACAATGAGCGACATTGTACCCTTGCGCCATGCACCAGTTGATATTCGTACTCTAGAAGTATTCTCTCGATGCCCTTATTAACTGCCCATGTAATTCCAGAACAAACGCCCGAAGAGGCGCGTAAGCTCAAGGAGGAGAAGAGGCGGACGCTGCTGAGGAAGCTGTCCTTCCGGCCCACGGTGGAGGAGCTCAAGGAGAGGAAGGTGAGGCGGGGGAGGAGCTCAACGAAAGAAAGCTGCGGCGGAGATGAGCTCAAGGAAAGAGAGCTAAGCTGCTAAGCTCCCCCACCATATGATGGCGGGGGAGGTGATGGTCGTTTACGTCACCAGCGCGAGCGGCCGCCGCGACGTCCGTGCGAGTTATTTGCCTTCATAACAGGATCACGATTCCACCTGACATGGGATACAGTGATGACAGGAGCGGATTGATTTCGTTTTATGAGATATGTTGACATGAAGTGTTGATGTGGCGCGTGCCTGTGGTTCAAATCATTCGGTTGTTGATGCGGCGCGTGTTAGTTATGTAAGTGTTGACATGAAGAGTTGATTTGATGCTTGTTTGTTGTGCAGATCATTCGGTTCAACGACTACATCGAGGTGACGGAGGCGCAGGAATACGACCGGCGCGCCGACAAGCCCTGGACGCGCCTCACGCCCCGCGACAAGGCCGTCATCAGGAAGGAGCTCAACGATTTCAAGAGCCTCGAGATGGACGTGCATGAGGAGAGCCGCCACCTCACAAGGTGCGGTCCAGCTGTGGGGAACACTTGCCTCTGGGGCTCAATTGCCTGTAGGGACCAAGTACCTTTGGGGCCACTTGCCTGTGGGCACTCTCTGACCCTTCACTTCCCTCTGTCCCTTGTCTATCCATGTCACACGTCATGTCTGATTGTGCCGTGTGTCCCCAGAGCTTCCTTTTTCACCAGTCAGCGTCCCGTGCCGTTGACAAGCTCTTCCTCATCATCGCCTCTGCTATACCTTAATCTTAAAATTATTTATATTTTATCTTGCACGAAAAATTTCATAATAAACATGACTTTATTTCTCTTCGTACTGACATAATGTGAAGGATATAACATTCTTTGTAGCCCGTAATTATATCTAAAGTGCAGACCTCCAGCGGCCTGAGAGCTTGTGTGCTCTCAATGCAATAGTTCTATTTAGCTTCTGGCAATGCACGTCTGATTATAACAGAACATAAGGCAATATTGGCCGCTGTGGTTGTTCACTTTTGGCTGAAGTTATCGCGTTGGGCAGGTTCCACAGACCCTGAAGCGCGGCAGCTGCAGCGCCCCGCCGCTGCCTCCATCGATTAGCTGTAACCGCTCCAGCCGCCACCTGCGCTTCTGCAAGTCTCGCTTGTTGTACATAATTATGATAACTATATCCTTGTTGTTAACAACGATCCTCATGTTGATGATGATGTACCAAATTGTTCATATTGTGCAAATACTGTAGCTATTGTAACCTGTGAAACCAGTGATGCTGTGAACTACGTCTCCTCTTTAAACACTTTTTGCTCTCATATGCAATACTCAATCCTGTCTCTCATACTTATTCTTTAGCTCCCAACTGTTCTTGGTTCCTGACCAAGACTTGTTAGTCTTTTTTCGCGTGACCTAATAACACCCAATGTATCGATAGTTTTTATTCCATGAGTTGATTCCTCTCTGTCTGGTGTCTTCCGCCGCTTCGTTTGCAGCAGTGAACCGCCGCTGCTGTCTGGCCCCGCTACCGTTGTTTGTGTCGCGCCTGGTGCTTCCAATGCATGCGCGTGTTTGGTGGTGTTAGTTTTCCCTGGGGCTGTGGTAAGGTTCAGTTGCTAGCTGTGGGAAGTAATGGTTGATTTTACTTGTGATTGAGGACTAAAATAATAAAGTTAATCATCAGACAGTGATGAGGGAATCACTTCATTATTTAGATAAATTATTGATTTAAATGATTAAACTCAAGCAGCGCTCTCGGTCGAGACTGCTCTTGAGAGGCCAGTGTGAGGTTCGTCTGTCGCTGCTGAAAGCAGCCATTGCATTTTTGTTTTGTTACTGGACGCTGATGATGAACCTGTTATTTCAAACAAAATATTATTTCGACCTAAAGCAAGTATAACTCTTCGAATAGAGGTCGTGGTTGTATTTATTTCTGCAGGTGACTGAGCGTAGCTTGGTCTATGAATGTCTTTCAAATTCCAGCGTGGAGCAGTGAACAAGATGTGCGTCTCGTGAACAAGATGTGTGTCATGTGAACAAGATGTGCGTCTCGTGAACAAGATGTGTGTCATGTGAACAAGATGTGGTCACGTGAACAATATGTGGGTCACTTGAACAAGATGTGGGACAAGGGGTCGCTCATAAGTAATACCTTGTAATTGTGATGCTAAATGTGAGCCGCTGGAATGCAGACTAGGTTCTTCTTTACAGGGATTTCACAATAAACTTCCAATAATTTATAGGAAATAAATAATCTTACGCAAACACAAGTAGTTTCAGACATTTTCTTCAAATGTCACGTAATATTCAACATTCAAGTTCATTTTAATCCTGTTTCTTGTGCAAGAAAAATGGGCCTTTATAAAACTTAGGCCCTCTGAGGCTCTGGAGCATTTCTGAATGTGAGCGACTCGCTGTATTTGGAAAACGGAAGCGTTGTAGTTTATGGAGCAACTCTTTTATCTCGAACACGCCCCTCCTGATTCTTGTGATGTTATTTTAACGGTGAATTTGATTTTTTTGGTGTTGGGTTTCAGAAGCAAATAATATTGACACCCTCGAGCGGAGTTCAGGTACGCGCGAGTCGGTAAAAAAGTTGCTGTAGAAGTAGTCATATTCGATGAAATCTTATGCCTGACAATATGCATTGTATTGAATAACTCCTATTAAGTATTTGCGTGTATATGAGCTCTTATTGTGAACAAACCACAAAACCTGCCGTAGGCCAGCCTTCGTTATCACCAGGCGCAACGAGTTCCGTTGCTGCGTCACTGAAGTGACGCCGTCACGCTTGCTAACGCCTTGCCACGTGCGTGTTGTCATCCAGCTGCTGTGGGTGGCTGGCTACTCGGGATAACTGCTCATTGTGGCTACTTAGTGTAGCAGGTCTTTGTAGCTGCTCAGTTGACTGTGTAGCTGCTCAGGGTAGCAGAGTGTGACGGCAGAGCCCGGCCAGTGCTTGTGCGGCTGTAATTTTCAGTGTGGAAACTGGAAGGGTTTGTCAGCCTCGGCAGAAGGGTAGACCTGACGCGTCATCGGCTGCAGTAACGAATTGCAAGATCGGTTAGAATTGTTCATATTATATTCCTGAACGTGAGGTGAGCTAAGGATTTTATTATTTTTACTCATGTGAACGAAGAGTTTTAACTGTGGGTGGCATGGGTGTGAATAAAATATAAGATGACCATGCTGCTAAAATCCGGGTTTCTACAAACCTATTGTTTGCGTGTGAAAAAAAAAAAATTAGTTTGTTGGGATGAATGCATCGTGTTTCGTCGTGTGTCTGAAGTTACCTTGTGGTAACTTACCGTTTTTTTGTTTCCTTTTTTATTTATTGGTTTTGAATTAGTCTCATCAGAGGCGACGTGATCAGCATTATCCGAGTTGCCAGTTTTTAGTAAGAGTTTCTGATGCTCAAGCGTAGATAAAGTTTTCTGTAGTTATCTTCTTAACGTGGCTTTCTAGAGCGCTGTTAAGGTCAATTTGGCTGAACCGACCAGCGTCTCCCTACGAGTCTTAGGCTTGTTGGGTCAGCAAAGCTCATTAGCATAATTTCTCTTGAACCAAATGTTCTCTTATTTCCGTACTGGGTTTATATATCTAGGGGCATGGCACTGGGAATCAATAAGCAATTAATTTGAATGGTCCCGCTTCAATTCTGTGCATTACCACCAATTAGAATAGCGGCCTCAACCTTCCCGCAAGCTCATTTCCCCCGTGAGGTCTTCACTGTTGTGATATTTGTTGCAAATCGTGTGTGCGACTGTGCGTAACTCGTCGCTTTGTCCTTATTTGCTGTTGAAATTTTAAAGTAAACTTTGCAACAGCGAAAACTAATTTTGTTACTCAGCAGCTCTGGAAATATGCGTACGATGCGCACCACAGCGGACGCGTTGCGGTGCACATGAGTGTTAGTGCGTGTGCTGCTCCCAAGTCTGTTTCTCATCTGGGCTATTGTTACATCGCAGGCGAGCCTTTTCCGTGATTTCCACTCCGGGTTGTGTTTCAGTTTGAACGCTGGTCTATTATGTAATTATCTGTAATTGATGATCTTAATAAGCCTATTCTTATTACATAATCTTTTTATGAACGCGTTTTTCATCCAACTCCTACGTGGTGGCAACGTCGATAGTGGTGATAATAGTGTTAAATAGGCATAATGTAGACTGTCACCGATCATAGACTTAGCTGAATTTTTACAGCTAGCTGTGGGTAACAAACCACTACTCACTGATTTAATCTTGGTGTTCGGAACTATAATAACTCAGCCGCCTTCTATCTTCGAAATCCGCAAGTCATGAAGGTGATAAAGGACAGTTCAAAATAACTCTCAAAGTGTTATTCTTCATTAAAGTAACATTTAATAAGCTAGAGGCTAGAAACAAAAATCGACCGCCATTTGTTGAAGCTTTTGATTATTGCAGCAAATAGGATGTGGCTGACATAACGTAAATGTTTGGGATAAATTTAATCGTATTTGCAAGCCAATAAACGCTCATCATGTAGGATTTTATCAGCGAACTCTATCAACGACAAATTTTTTATTGTAGTCTATTGACCGCCGCCGACTTGAAGGTGCTATAGGACTCGTGGGATTCAAACCACGTGTTTTGAACTTCAAAAAATGAAATAAAAAATTTTTCGCATACAGGGAATAATTGAGGTACATCTTATTTACTAACTATTCTAAGCAATAAGTATCATTTATCGATAACAAAAGCGTCATTCGAATAATACGGAAAAAATTTACACCAATCTATTCACGGCTGCGCCCTCTGCCTAGCCATGTTCAACCAGAAATAGGTATTTCAAAATAAAGCCAACATTCGTCGCTAACCAGAACCAACTTCCCAGCGTTAGGAGAAAGTATCACTGAGGTGAAATTTCAGTAGACAAGATTGCGCTAAATCAGATCTGTTATTTCTTTAAATACTTAGCGGCAACTTCATCGCAAAACTTAGCCATCTTAACATCCTTCAGAGAGAGGCCATTGCAGTCGTGCGTGGACCACGTGACCTCGACTTTGTTGTAGACGTTGAACCATTCGGGATGATGGTCGAGCTTCTCGGCCGCCAGCGCCACGGCCGTCATCCAACTCCAAGCCTGAATCAGGAGCAAGAACATCAAAACGTGCTATCAATCATAATAATCAACAATGCAACAACATTTCTAGGAGCCTAGTTGAAATTAAACACACTCATTGCTTAGAATGAGAATCATTAAATGTTTGGCAATACTTTTAAAAATATTGAAAAAAATATCACCTCGTTGAAATTGGCGAAATTGAAGTTTTTCTTGATGGCGTCGCGGTCGCTGACGACCGCCCAGCCTGCGGCGGTGAGGGGCGGCAGCTCCGTGGCCCGAGCGCCGGCGTCCAAGGCGGTCTGGTAAGGACGGAATGCATCCATCATATAAAAAATAAAGTTCATTTATAGAAACTCTACACTCAAGGGAAACGGCTGGGTCAAACACAGCCAAAAGGCTGATCCCAACAATAAAAGAAGACCAACAAAATGTACACAAATAACCATGCATATTGTTATGCCACCTGTACTGGTGCTAGAATTCCAGGTTTGGGACAAAATAAATAACATGGGGTGGTGCAAACGTGTGTTTGATAGTTTCTGTGCTCAGGTAACTACCATTCTGTACATAATTGATTAGATATCCAAGACATTATCCGAACGACTCAGTCACTTCACTCAGACATAATCAAGGTCAACGTCAATCTGCGATCAATGAGAACAACGTCTATGAATCAAACTAAAAGTTGTTTAGGACTTTAGGTTAATAATTATATAGGCTCAAGAGAAATATTTTCCTGTGGCCGAATGTGAACAATTTGGCAGCGCGTTCAATGACGCCACTGGGATAACGTCCACTACCGAGGTGGAGTGCGACTGACAGGATCAATACGAGCGGCTGATGCAGCTCAATCCTCGCCGGTTTAAAGGAATTTTAATGGATACTAGTACAGTTATAACAGTGAACGAAAAATATATAATGGAGACGAGCACATATATAACTAAAGGGAGGAGAGGCGTGATGGAATTCCTGAAGTTAGGGAGGAGGCTGGACGGGCAGTTTAGTGAGTTTACTGAGCACAGCTCGTCACTTGGAGCTCGTCCTAAGCAGCAGGTTCAGGCCCACAGAGATCCCATACGATAGGGGAGCTCTAAGTGCATGATGCGCACAGTAGAATATTGAAGACAGAGGAGATACAGTGAACGAAGACGAGCACAAGAAACATTAATTTAATGAGCATATTTCCCACAGAGGCAGATTTTCATCGCCGTCACTCAAAATGCTCATAAGATACAGGGAGAATCTAACCGCGGAAGCCAAGTTTTACGATACCGTTTACTTGGAGAAACTTATAGAGCGTTGCTACTATATTAAGATAACAAAACCTCACGAATCATTGTAAAGAAACAAATCACATACGAGATGAGTTCAAACTTGTTTATTGGAGCAACTTAAATTGATTAGCAAGCGTGAGACTGTGAGTCGTTTAAATTGATAACACGAGCGTAACTTCGCATCAGGCGAAATCACAATGCTCATTTTCATTCAAAGCGAAATACGGCGGTAACCTTGTGCCGGGATAGTAGCTGCCTAGCTGGCAGCGCGTAACTTGACACGGTAAGTCGGTAACATAGTGCCAGGATTGCTGCTGGCCAAGAGTAATGGACGCTCATCGCTCAACAGGTTGCGATGCTTCAGCTGCCAGCGGCGCGCTGGTGAAGGAGTCAACAGGTGTCAGTCGAGAAGCATGTCCAGCGGCCAACATTTCAAACGCCAGCTTCGCTCAATCTGCATGTTTAGTGAATGCTTTCATTGGCTCAAAAAACTTCGTACAGAAAAAACCCATCCTACCGATATTAGGTAGATGGTTTTATTTGTTACGCAATAAAGACTACAGTAACTGAGTATCAATCATTTTCCCAAAAGTCATCCATGAATAGTACCCAGATCAGATTTTCAAGCGCCCGTTGAACAGTAGCTTATGGGAACCGTCTCCCACGAAAGAAATAACTCCAAAACTTGTCCCTCAAGTCTTGAGATAAGAATCGGGCAACTGAGAACCAACGCAAGGTAAAAGCAGACAAAATATGGTCACAGGAACACCTACACGGTTACGTACCATTGATGTCTTAGAATAATAGCCAATAGACAAGCACCAAAGAATTTTGGGCGCGCTGGCTTTCAAACTTCAATTTCCAGTAAGGAACTCAACAAGCTATCAACCACCTCACACGAAGCCTTGCGGCGTACTGAGCTCAGCACTGAAGCAGTGTTGCCAGGTTTTTTCTGGGCGAGATTACCAGATTGCCTAGCTCAAAATACCAGAAATATACCAAAAATTCTATTCAACAACAGACTGTTACCGCCAAATTTAATTAAATTATTCATCAGAAACGTTTGTTATAAAAAGAAAAAAAAAGTATCTTATGTACTGTGCATTTATCTAACTTGACGATAATTAGCCAACTTTAACACGTTATATTTTTCCCTCTGTTTGGAACATTTTGACACTTCTATTTTCCTGTGTTTGATTACATTGTCACGTTATCCTTTTTTTTATCACAGTGCCGCACTCTTCCCCCTTCGCTCAAAATGAGCAAGCCACGAAAAACAGCTCATCTCCCTTTTGCTTATTTTCGTACATGCTTGCATGTTGCATTTATCTAACATTTCGGGTGTGATCGCTTGTTGCGGCTGATCAGATAGATAGCTTTGGGTCCGAATAAGGGACTCCAGTACCTTAGTTGAAAATTTATTTCGTTGCTTATTTTTCACATAGGTGACTTGTGATAACATTCGCTCCACGAATGCATTGGAGACAGGTCAAAGTAGACAAGTGATGCAGTAGGCACTAGGCAGGCAGTTCAAGATCAGTGAAATATTGAAAGGCACTCCAAAATTCAAGTAGCACTCCAATAAGTGGCACACTATAATTCAAAACCACCAAACAAAAATGATGGAGCTTGCGTCGCAGAGATCGGTTCGACAATCTCATTCGTCCTAGGCCATATCATCACTGATCAGTAATCAATCAAGGTTCATCACTCGTGCTTATATTGTACTAAACACTCTTGGCAAATGTTAACAATTAGATTGGGGTTATTTCATCAAGCGGTAAACTTGCGGGTCTAAAAATGGCGGGAAAGCTCTAGTCGCGCAGCTCTGAATGTAATCTATATAATCCGCGCCTACGCTGGAGGAAGTTCAAACTTCCGAGGTGGAACTTAATGCAGTAAATTTGCAGTAAGCCAGAAAATACCAGAAAAATACCAGATTTAGGCAAATATACCAGATCCAAAATATTCATACCAGACACCTTCTGAAAATACCAGATTTGTGAAATTTGGTATAGAAATATACCATCTGGCAACGCTGCACTGAAGGTGAAGTCTGAAGCTGCGACAGCGCGAGTGTGCGACGTCGACTGAAATCCTTGGTCGAGCCTGCACTTCCTCAGAGAGCTAGACAAATTTCGACTTGCATTATTCTGTTATTCGTTACATATCCCTAATGACATTTCAAATCAGTATACGATTAAGATCAACAATATTTTCAAGTTTAAGACCGATTTCCTTAACAAATATCTGAGAGTATACCAAGATCGAATTTTTGTTTGTCTACACTCAACTGTCTACACTCAACACAGAAGGTGGTGATTTTCGCTGCTGGCATTACTCCGTAGCCATCTGCCTTCACAGGCGGGATGCTCCAAGTCTAGTAAACCCGCCCCACGGCAGCTCCTTAGCAACACGTTCATCACTAAACTTCATGTTCATCCTTCAACACCACGTTCATCCGTCAACACCATGTTCATCCGTCAACACCACTTTCATCCGTCAACACCACGTTCATCCGTCAACACCACGTTCATCCGTCAACACCACGTTCATCCGTCAACACCACGTTCATCCGTCAACACCATGTTCATCCGTCACAGCACGTTCATCCGTCAACACCATGTTCATCCGTCAACACCATGTTCATCCGTCAACACCATGTTCATTCGTCACAGCACGTTCATCCGTCAACACCACGTTCATCCCCTGCATAACAATTCTTCCATGGAGATCGCAACAATGGCTACTAATGGGTAATGTGAGAAATAAGAAGCTGCACATGAAGTCTTTGGCGTCAAATTTCCAATTTTCCAAGAAGTCAGAAATGCGAATTGGTCAGTCCTTCGTGTTAAATTCAAGGTCAATAGAGATGGACTGGTCTCTCGACTACAGAAAAAGATTTCATCCATAAAAGATTTATTTAGAATAAACATAATATTATATTAAATTCCACGAATTACTTAAATTGAATCAAATTTTACCTAGATTAAAGTACATTATGTTAACGACGAAAAATAAAATGAGCTCACCATTTTCTTGGCGACCACAGCAGTGCCGTGCAGCTGCTTCACCCAACGCCCGAGGACACGCGGGGCCAGAAGCAGGCTTGGTCTCGGCGCCAGCATGTCCGAGCTGCAGGGCCGACCTCAGACGATTCGCTCCAAGATCGACTATTTACGATACTATTTTGGTCAAGTTAAAAGCCGCTAGTCGAATGGGGAAGCTAAATGCTATGATCTGCCACAAAATGTAATAGAAATTCTTAAAACAATTCCGAGTCTTTGAAAAATATTAAGTATTCAACGTAAGTAAGGTCATCCATAATTCATACCAAAATATTTTTAAACCCTAGGCAGTCTCCGACAAAGTTAATTCAAAATCACCATCCAACTTTGTAAAAGAACCAGCCAATAGTACACAACTGGTGGCTGGGTGCACTCTATGGTACTGGCGCTATAGTGTGTGTAACTCAATAGCATGTTCATTCACAAGGCCGTCCTATCACAGATACCGCGGCTCGAGAAATCATACGATGGAGGCGAAGATTTCGTACATGGCAACAGCGAACTAATGAGACTAGCTCATACTGGAACACATTTGAATAACTTTAAATTCAGTCGTTAACGAATAATTGCTTTGAAAATATATTAATAGCAGTTGTGAAGCCACATCACGCACTAAATTGCGGTTTCAAATACAAATAAACATCAGAATTATCGATGAATGCAGTATGTTTTTATGAGACTCAGTGAAAGGAAAATATGTGCATAATTCGCCAGGTTTGCTTGCACAGCAACCAAAAGTACTGCAATATTTCGAAGCAGAGAATTTTCCGAGATTTAAAATGTTGGCTCATTTCAATGCAGTCATTGTTATGCAGGTGCAATTCTTATCAATTATCCATTATCTTTACAATATTTGACTTTGTGAAAGTATACATTGCGGTTTGAGATATTTTTTTACCGGGACACAAGTGAGGGACAGGGGAAAAGCGACAAATACAAATGAACAACCGCAACATGATCAAGTAAAGAATAACCAACATAGCAACGAAAATTTGTTGGAATGCATTTGCCTGGAATGAAAAAAAAATGAATTCCTGAAAAGATCTTCAAGTTCACAATAACGCGCAAAACCGGATGCGATTAAAATCTAATGCATTTTGTTCTAGGTACACTGGCACTCAGATCAGTTTCTGCGTTCAAGTATATTTTGGCTTGAGAGGCGACTATGATAAACTCCGTGAAACAGTGATTGCGGCGAATATTTCGGACTGTATTAAGGACATGAATGTGGCTGATTCATGGTCGTTTCTTAAAGACACGGTTATGTCTGCAGTTCATGCCTATGTACCCAAGATTACGCTTGGAGGAGTCAAAAAGTCCCAGTGGATGACCAGTGCAGTTAAGACTCAGCTAAAGACCAAGAAAGAAGCCTACAAGCGTTATTTACGAACTCGCAGTGAGTCTGATTATAACCTGTATGCCAGAGCTCGAAATCAAGCTAAAAAAGTTTGTCGCACTGCAGTGAAAAACTTTGAAAAAAATATTGCTAAAAATGCCAAAAAGAATCCGAAAGCCTTCTTTT